GTACTAATTAAATGTATCAATTCAAATGGCATTAATTTTTATTTGCTTTATGATGAACTATAGTTATTATATGTATTCACAGGTTGCTCTTTTTTGCGTTTTGCTTCTTTAAATGAATTTCTTCTGCTGAAAGCTTTTCAACGCGATTTTGGCGTTATAAGAAGAGCAAAAAAAGAAGTACCAATCACAAATGGTCGACACCATTTGCCATCAAAATTTTCATCAGCAGCAATACGAGTGGTAATCATACCAACAGGAAGACAAATATTTATTCGAAGAGCATGAATAAATGTCTTTGGACCATTGCCACCAGCCTGCCAAATTATCATAGCGTACAAATTATCTCGATCATCTGTAAATCATTTATTGATGAAAAGGGATCTGAAAGAAAATTCAAATTTTTTCTCAACACACAGTACATCTTCCTTTCCTTTTCTGCTTTGTGCATTTATATTGGGTGTTTGAATGATAAATTTGAGTAGAACAATCGTTGCATGTAACCTTTTGTAATGAACGCTTGAGTAAGTTCGTCGACTCTTTCCACATAAATAAAATGTTCATAGACTACTGAAATATGGTCACCATTATCGCGCATTGTCACCAAATAATATTTACCAGTTTTCTGTTCAAATAAAAATGTTAAAATTAAGTCACTGTTGTTGATACCACGAATTCCAAGCCATTTGATATTACCGGTAATTACCTAAACATAAATTACAGTAAATAGTAGCAATTTAAACTGCTATTCAATGCCGTTATAACGTTTTCTTTGTACATTTTCAAAATATATCTATTTCTTCTTCTCACTCTATTTTTTCTTCTTCATATAATGTTAACCTGAATATTACCAATCAAGAGATAAGCCAGAAAAATAAACCTATTTTTTCAAAATATTTTTGCTAATAAAAGCACATTTTATACGACGAAAAAAAAGAACCGTTACATATCATTTGCACAACAAATATTTTTCCTCATCTAAAGTTTAATTTTGGAGCAGCTGATTAATACCATTGGAATATAGTCTTTTGTGTCTCCTAGGTCCACTTTTTCTGCTTCTTATCTCTTACAGTTTTCTTTAAACAGGAGAAAAAGTGTTTTGTTGGATACATAATGATGAGGAGGAAAAAAAAAAGGGGAATATAGGATTGTCTACTCCAAAAAACATCAACTATTTGTTGACATTGTATTTAAAATGATCTGTTCAGTGCACATTCTGTACCAATGATTTATAAGACCACTGTTTTTTAGACTTCTATTCTTACTCTTTTTTTTTCCCTTTTTTAGACTGCCTCATGTCCTGAAGCTTAATTATTATGTCTAATAAGGAAGAAAAAAAGATATTACATTTTTTAGAGCAGAAAAATATTAAAGAAAATTTAAAGTCAGGTAATGATGAAAAAATAAAGTCTGACAAAAACAGAACAAAACAGAATAAAGCAGATAAAAGTTTGTTGAACGTATTAGAAAATCTCACGAAATATTAGTTTAAACTAGTGGGAAAATTCAGTTTCTTTTTACACCTCATTAGTTTCATGTTTTTACTTTACCGATGAAGAATACAAATTCCCTCCTTCAATTTTGTTATTTGTAATATTTATTAGTCCATTTAAACATGACTTTATCTAATCATTCTGCAATCACTGTATTTATATCGTACAATATCGTTGTGCTGTAAACATTCAAAGACTTTTCAGAAAATAAACGCGATTTTTAAATGTCAGATATCCCTTTCATTTTTTTTCTTTCAATTTGTTGACATCAATTAATATTTCAGAAGAAATATTAATTTCTTCTTGTCAAGAAAAAACATTTTTTACATTTATTAAGCTGCATAAACATTATAAGAAGACCGATTAGTATGCATCCATTTGGAATACTGTTCATTGCTTTCAGTGAACAAAATTTGAAAACAACAGGTAGGAATTTTGATGCTCACTGAAACCACTGCTGTTCAATAATGCAAGTGATATTTCTCAAAAGTCTTTTAATCCATATGATCTAAGCTTTTTTTTTTGGATATCCTTGTATGATTTTAAAATCGGGTTATCCTCAAAAGACATGCTAAAGTTGGAGAGAATAGAAAAATTTTTCAATGATTAAAAGCCCTCAGTTGACAGAGTCTTTGCAGAAAAAAAAAATGGTGAAAAAAATTTTTAAAAATATAAGATGATATAAATTTTAACCGGAAAATACTTTCTTTTCTTCAAAAAGTTTCTAACTGTATTTCGTATCTATTAATTTTATCTGATGAAGTCGTGGATTAATAAAGAAAGAAAGAAACAGTTGATGTTTTGGATAATGCAATTTTATCCAGCTCTCACTTTTAAGCTTTCACTATTTGCTTAATATTATAACAAAACTGCATTGATCTAGCGACTAACAATAGTCTTAATCACGAACTAATCGTATTTAAACAGGATACAAAAAAGTGTGTTTTGTAAGTAATCGGTGAAATGATGACAAAGTACCTTAAGTTGGGAACAGTGGAACGGCAAAATTCGAACAACCGCTGAGTTGGCTTCAGTAACAACAAACTGTGATCGTCGCATATCGAATATATACCAATAAATTCCATCTTTACGAGATGATACTCCAAACTGCCAGGTACCATAAATTCCATCCTTTATTTTTGAACACATATCACATGAGATAATCGTTACAAATTTACATCGACCCTGTTTTGCTGCTGACAGTAATCAAAAATTCTTTTATCATTTACATCAGCAACCTCTGCTCAACTGGTCTAAATTTCTAAAATCTTGAATACAACTTCTGTCTTCTGCAAAAGTGAAATTAGAAGAGTCTATTTACGGTACTATAAGCCATTATTACGTATTTTAACGATCCGTTGACTAAGCATATTGACATAGCAAATATGGCAGCATTACTTGTAAAAAAAAAAAAAAAGACATCCTATTAGTTATCTAAGGAAGCAACAGTCA